TAAATAAATAAATAAAAGCCTGGTGGGCAGATCGCAGCTCCTGAGCGAGCTGTTTCAGCTGACTACATTACCGGAATCCTTGTCCTTAACAATGGCTCAAGGATTTATAACTTCCAACTCTTAGTTTTAATGAGCAGACTCGGGGCAGTTCTTGCAGATGAGAAAGATTTCGGAATCTGAACATAAATTTTTAAGAGCCATTCAACCTTGACGTTGCAAACTAATGCAGGGCTTTTAATCGCCTCCGTTTTGATGAATACAGCACGTCAAAGGTGAAGAAAAGATAACATAAGCCAGGTGGTCTGAGAGAGGACGAAAAACAGCTAGCTGCAGAAGTTTTGACGATTTCGGCATGTTCTGGCATGCAAAATGTGTTTTGCGGTAGTTGTTATACTTCTTGGAACATACATGAACATCTGGCATATTTCGCCATAATGTTCCCAGAAAGTGCGCCATTGCTGAGAAAAGCGAAGCTTACAGAAGATGAAGTCATGCCTATAAGATTATTTTTCATCAACTCTGTTAAAGTGCGTTAATGCGACCCCCTAAGTAAACTGCCAGTGCACAAATGTTTCTTCACAGCTTTATCAACATTGCGTAATTTTGGTTGATCAAAACCCGCTTTGGCTCTGTAGACCATCTCTTCTGCTAGAGTTACTACCGTGATTGTTCTATAGGATAACAACCTACGACTTCAGCCTAGGGTGAATATCGGTCGAGGAATTCCTCGACGGGGGGTCGTATTTGCCCCTGTGGAAGACGGAGTGGGGTCGTTATTGTCGGTGTCAGATGGACGGAATTGCTCACTATTCATCACCTGCAGCCGACCGAAGCGGTGCTTTATATCGAACGAAACATCTCTATTTGCGGAGCCTTAGATCGATGGGACACCATAGCCTGCTTACGACCTACGTCTTGAATACAGCACAGATGCTAACTGCAACGACACAAACGAAGTGGCATTATAGGAGCTCTAAATATAAAATAGGTTAAAAGATAGTTCAATCCAGAGAGAAGTTTTAAGCTGCAAAACGTTGCACGAAGTCTCCATGTGCGCTTATAGTGAAAGCTCCGGATACACACTACATACACAGTAATTGAATGCCAATACGGAAGAACCATTCGGTTTTCATTAGCAACTCATCATGCGCACACAGCACCTTTCAACTGACTTAAAATTCCGAGCGAGGACCGACGGCATGGCGTATACTAGACCAAAATCAAATGGGGCTACGTGTCTCTATCTGATCAGCGATAGCAAGGAGATGCGCAACCAATGCATTTCGAGAGGATTCAATGAACTTCCCAGCAGTAATGTGGAAAGAATCCTGGTTTGAGTGAAGAAAAAAGGCCCTCGACTTTCCTCGAGGCAGATTTCTCTTTATTTAGGGAGATTTCAAACAGATCACGTGGTTATTTGAAAGAGCAACTCTTCTACTTTCTTATACAGTCCACTTCTTTTCAAACAACTGAGAAATAAGAAAGTTATCGTCTTGAAAACAGCAAAAATCAGTATGAAAATTTTTGATTCCTCGACGTTTACTCGACGTGGAAAATCTCACTTAATAGGCAACTTTAGAACAACTTCAGGGATAATTAGAAACTGCAGTCAGAGCTCTTTCGAATCACACCTACAATTTTCAAAAAGATTATGTTTCGAAAAAGTTATTAAGGTTTAAATCATAACGGGACGAGGCGAATTTTCGAGATAAGTCGCTCCAACGCGAGCCGCGCCGCAGCCGCGTGAGGAAATAGCCGCGTCTTTGAATTCGATGACTCCTTCCTTGTACTTCCTTTTTATCATGTTTTTTTCGCATTGCTGTCTATATCTCTTTCTCTTTCGTATGTGTTTTTAGAGTCCGTGTCGGTACAATAGAAGAACGTTGTTTTTTCCAGGATCTCTGTGTAATTAGTGCTTTTGGCGCCGTAGACGCCGCACAGAGGTGAGTTCTCCGTACCTATCCTCCATTTTTTTCGTCGCTGCCAATCTTTCTTTTCATAGCGTGTGTTTACGTGTGAAGTAGGTGCTCACACAATAGGAGAATGTTTTTCTTTCAAAATCCTTTTTTTGCCGTAGTTTCGCTTCGTAATAGCCGAGTAGAGGTGAGTTCCTTTTTAAGATTGTCTGCCGCTTTGTTCTCTTTTAATTGGTGAGTGATTCTACTTAGCACTGTTTCATTGGCGTTTGGCATGTGTGTGAGAGGGGTGTCATACCGAGACCCCGTTTTACGGAGGGGGTCGTACCGAGAACCCCAGCTTTAGGGAGGGGGTCGTATCACAGTCGGATTTTCCTCGACACATTTTCACTCTGCTTCAGCCCATAAGTTATTGTGTCGGCCAACTAAATACTATTCAAAAGCATCACATATTACAATTTTGGATTGATTTCTCCTGATGGCTCATTCCATTAATTATGGAGTAGTAATGGTGGAAAAGATTCCGCTGGGTATTCAAGTAAGAACCTTGAAGGAGGTGTAACGCCGCATACCTAGGCATAACACGAGTCGAACAGCGCGAACTGCGGTCGGTTGAACATCCGTTAGAATACTAGTCACCTCAGACGATTATTGATGAATACAGTGAATACTACACAGAAATAGTTGACGACTATCCAGTCGAGGATAAACCAATCCACCGTCAGACGAACTCGGAAGCATTTCAGTCCGTACAAACGTTCCAAGAGCAAAAAGCCTCGCTTTCGTGGGCGGCTGCCTTTTATCCCTCGCGCTTGGATCTTGTGCATCTTCACAGCTTTCTAGAAAAAAACAATCTGCCATATCTTCAATCCAAAGAGCTACCTTAACCGAATATTACACTAAACATAGACATTACTTTTGGCCGACTATTGTCGACCAGGTGTGAATATCGGCTTTTGGCTGAATGAGTATCGGCTTTTATTGTTTGTTACTTGCTCTTCTAACACCGCGACTCGTTGCGAAGAATTCTGAATTATGGGTAAATCTTTTTGCCGAGGCGGGAGTTGAACCGAAAACAAGCTGAAGCTTGGCTAATAAGGGGAAGCGGTGCCCTCATGGTATAACCGGTAACGCATCTGCGTGGATTGCGAGAAATGCGAGTTCGATTCTCGTTTGGGGTGAAAAGCCTTGCTCATCAGTCGGTATTCTTGTAGAATATAGGCTTGACTAAATTACACTGAACCGAGAACAGGTTCCAAGTACAGCAGAGTTCTGCAAGAACGGTCTTATACCCATACCTTTTTACAAATATTACATCCGAAGAATGAAAATTATAGCACTCCCTATTAATAAGTCCACTCCTGGGATGCGCCACGCGTTTTACTTCCATTCGGAATCAAGTGGTTGTTGAAAGCGACGACCAATACAATGTCTTTTCTATCCTCTCTAAAAGACCCAGTTAAGCAGCTCCAAGAGGAATCAAAGCTCTGTCAGTTCGAAATTGGATCCATGCACCGTGTTTTTTGTAGGGAGTGGAAAGGACGCCACTTCCACCAGTTTGCATTATGAAATTTTTACTCTACAGGGGGAGTCACTTCGCCCTCGGTGGAGCCTATGGTGGACATCATCAAACTTTTTGTCGTGTGGGTTGCCGCTGTTGATGAAAGTTCTACGGCAAAGTACCTGAGATGTCCCCCCATGAGCAGAAGCAAGCCATTCTTCATTGTTCTCACCGTCCTCAGGAATATGACCAACTGTCATCTGCCACCACCGTCGAGCTCAAGGAGTCCTACAGTAATCGCTCCAGCCTGAAGCTGCTATGGAATTTTTCAATCGATTGATTGATGGATAGCTTCCTAGAGACAGTAACTCTGATTGTGCAAGTCCTTTTCTGATCAGCTTTTCAGATAACGTCCTAGTCCTCCCGATCCGAGTGCGTTGAGTTCTGCCCGTGCATTACTCACCTCATAAAATTCAGCCGGCAGAATATCACGTTAACGAAAAGACTCCTAAGGTATGCTACGTAATGAGAGCGATCCGATGAACTATATTGGCACCTTAGCCTCTGTGCAGATTGCTACGAAAAGAAAAGTCTGAGAACGGGTTCAGAAGGCTCAACGTTGGCGTAGAAAGATGGAGGTACATGAGCACATCGCAGTGGGAAACCACGAGTGGGAATATCGGTTCACATGCGATATGGGACAAAGTGCGAAAGGAGTCAGAGTGTGTGAAAAATGATACCAGGTGACGCTTCTATCAGTACTATTCAACTTTTCTGTTAATAGAAAGTCGGCATCAACGTTGACTTGCCTCCGAAAAGTGGTCGATCAGAACTATGCGCACAAGTATTCTAAACTGATTGAGAAATATTCTGCAGAAAAACCTCGTGGGCATGAGGAAACCCTAAAATAATTGGCGACATGATGTGAAAGAAGCAAGTAGATGATGTACCGTTCCACTTGTGTAAAGGAGCAACTGAGAGCAGTCTACAATAGGCGACAATATAGTTGAGGAAGCCTCATTATGCGGAAAAGATGCAGTAAACAATAAATGAAAATGTGCTCCTCATTACCGCAATGACATCCAGTGAGACATAAAGCTGCGTGTTGAGGAGCGCTCAATTCTAGCAAATGGCTGACCCAGTCGGGAGACGAGAGGAGAAGCGGTGGCCGTCCTACACCTACATGAATTGCCCACAGAAATCGAGTTTGTCCCGTATGGAGTGCAAGGAGCACCATACGACGCATACGTTTACTTAAAGGAGGATTCCACGATAAGAACGAAGGTTGAGGAAGAGGCAGGTCTCCCTTCTAAGGGTGCGGACTGACACGCAGTCGGCAGCGGAAGATTAGAGCTCAGCGATCTGGCATGGCTCACTCTTGACGCACTTGGCGATCCACGCCCATTGATGATCTTATCACTCGTCGCAGATCTATACGCAGCGAATGATTAGATAGCAGAGGGAGCGTTATATTCAAGAGGAACAAAGATGGGAGTCGCATCAATGCCGAGAACAAGGGAAAAAATTGGGTATCATTTCTCGGATTCTAGGCCGTTTCTCATGGTTTTTCCTTCGTTCTGGTACCACTCATCATCACTAACTTGATTTGGAATGGGTTGCTTTTTCATCGGAAATTCTGCCTTCAAACTTCGGTTGGAGCATGGGTGGTACATATATGCCCATAAACTTCGCTTTCATCTTT